TCCCTCCCACCCTGCACACTCCCACCAGGGCCCTGTAGTGAGCTCTTTTACTCTCTGTTCTTTTAAAGCATGTCTGTCCCCTTTGCTGTACTGGGTTCTTAGAGGCAGTAACTGGGTCTGTGCCATTTCCATAGTCCCACATCTAGTGCAAACCCCACACTCAGTAGGTTCTCATATAGTATCTGCTATATGGAGGGCTGAATCCTTATTGTGAATGCTACATTTCTGATTTTTAATATGTCTATACAAGGAACACCTGGGTAACCCTGTTCCCCTTCTTCCTGAAATGTGCCCAAGAGAACCCAACAGTCTGGGGTGAAGCCCAGCCATGTGGGTTTCCACAAGCCTTACAGGAACAGTGAGAACCCCTCTCTCCTCCATTTTATCCCACAACCACAATGCAACTTTTATTATTATTGCTATTTATTATTACCCTCATTTTACAGGTGAGCAAACTGAGGCTCATGGAAGTCTCTGCTTTGTTCAAAAAAGAAGCAAGTGACCAAATAAACCCATGTCAGAGATCTGTATCCAAGATGGGAGGTTTGGGCATGTCTGACTGTGAACAGAGCAGGGAGCGGGGCGAGGAAGGGAGCCACAGAGACCTCGAAGGGATGCAGAGGCACAGCCAGTCCCCCACGCCCAGCCTGGGTTGGGCCCTGTGAAGCATCACAGGGCCACTCTATTATTTTCACTCTCATATTTACTAAGACAAGAAAAATTGTTAACATAATTTTGAAACAAAAATATATTCCTGTAACTGGTGGCAGTCTGTCTTAGAACAGTTTCAGCAAGGTACCTGACTCAAACCTGTCTCCATGCATGGGAAACACACATACATCATCTTTCTCCCCAGAATTTCCTAAACACCCTTCTTTGGACAGGGTAGGCCCCTCCCAAGTTACTCGGGCATAACTGCCAACCACAAACATTCACTCAGAAATTCCTCTTCTCACATACAGCACAGTTAAAAATATATATATATCTGAAAGAAAACCAATAAAACGTGCCTAAGCCATCAAAAAACCACAACCAAAAACCAAAATAAATTTCCTTTAACACTTTCCCTCAAATATTTGCAGATAATTAATTCACTGTTAATCAGTTGAGAATGATTCTTTTATACTTTGTAAATAAAGAGAGACCATCTCCAGCCCCAGCAAAAGTAATTTTCAGTGGGTCCTTGCACAGTTGGGGGCTGCTTACCGGGAAGGGCGACCTGACCAGCAGCTTTGTCACCCGGGGCCTGCTGCCCACCTCCCTCCACCTGCCTTGCCTCCTTTGCCCCTCTCTCCTGGTCGCACTGCCGCTGCTTGCCAGCGAGGCTGAGGGGTTTCCAGTGAGTCAGAGAGAGCAGGTGGCGACCGAGGGGCTGGGTGGTTATATTTAGAACAGCACAGAAAATCCCAGCCTCCGTGGTTTCCACCTGTTCAGACATCCCCGCAGCAACTCCACTTCTGCCGACCATGCCCCTTTCTCGCTGGGCCCTGCCCTGGAGCCCATCTCCCGAGGCTTCCAAAAGACTCCTGGTGGCCCTCGCTGCTTCCCACAGCCGTCCTGCCTCTCCCCGCATAAATTCCTCCACAAACTCCAAGTGCCCGAAGGGACTCATTACAGGGCCCCGAGCTTGGCCAGCAGGGGCTCCCCACTTCCTGTCCCTAAACCTCAGGGTGCAGCTAAACCCCTGTGCCAGGATTTCTACCTGAACAGTACATAAGCATGTGATCTCGTGTATACGGTTTTTTTGCTCTCTGACCTCTTCAGCCTGGAATGGTGGTTCTCAGCCTTGGGTCGTTTCAAAATCCTCAATGCTCTAGCCACACTAAAACCCCAAGAAATCAGTCTCTGTGGAGAGAGGGGACCCAGACATCAGTATTTTTCAAGACTCCTCAGTATTTTTCAATGGGCAGCCAAGGTGAGAACCACAACTCTCAATGATCAGTGCCTCTCTCCACACCCTTTTTTCTTCTAGTAAGCTCCTACTCACCCGACAAGACCCACCCACCTTGCAAGCCCTCCAAGCACTGGGAAAACCCTGTGCCTCTGAGGTTCTGTACCCCGCCTCTGCTCCAGCCTCCATCCACATCACTGTCTAGCTCCACTCGACTGCTACCCCTACCCCAACCTTGGCCATCAGAGTTCCAGTGGCCACTCTGCTGGATCCTCTCCACAAGGATAAGACCCAATAGTGCCCTGCTAATGTGGATACTTACTTTACTGTTGATATTTGAAACATTTCTGGTCTGATCTACTTTGGATTATAAACTCCTTCATTCATTCAACAACCACTGGTCATGCTTCTCCTGTCTGCTCAGTCCTGGGCCCCACAAAGCAGATAAGAGGTTGTGGGGATAGACAGAGAAGCTAACACATGACACAACAAGATAGTCTTTGTCTGCCAGGAGCTTGCTGCCACCACCATAAAGGAATAGATAACACTCAGGATGATAAATACTCTAACAAAGTTGAGCACTTAATAGAGGCTGCTTAATTTTTCTGGTAAAGACTGGTCACCCTACCATTAGGACATCAGTTACTGTGTCCTTGCATTTCTCCTTATATAACACCTAACCCAGGGCTGATTCAGAACTTTAACCGGTCCTTACTGATGATGCTAATAACCACCTCCCCATCAAAGCCATATAAAGGAACATAGGGATGGATAAGATGGAAATGTGATTCTGTGAGTTAGCTGTTATACCCAGAAAACATATAAAGTAGAAAGGGTTGAGAAATGCTCTCTTAAATAATAAACTTGGAATGTGGTGTGGCAGAGGACAAGAGGCTATTAGCGATGTGTACTTTGTACTTCTTTCTTACTCACAGAACCCTGTTTTGTATGGATCAGCAAATACGCAGTTAATAAATTAGATTTCTCTGCTTCCCTTGCAGCTTAGGGGTAGCCATGCTATGCAGTGCTGGCAAACGAGATGTAGCTGGAATATGCCAGGGAGCTCCAAGAAAGATTTGCTTTCCTGATATGAGCCCCGCCTATTCCTCTGTGTTGTTTCTGTGTCTCCTTCCTGCTGAGAACATGAGGAGGAGATGGCATCCCTCGACGTGAAAGCTACAAGCTAAGAACAGCTGAGCAAAACTGCAGATGGAGCCTTGGGCATTGATGGCATTGGGGCATTTACACGTCTGCCTCAGACTTCATGGGGCATGAGAGAAGAAAAATTTTTTATTCGTTAAGTTACTACTGTCAGGTTTCTGTTGGGTACAGTCAAACTGCCAGGACTGGTATACACACTTCGGTGCAATGACAATGGGCTCTCCTGGTTATACGGCCTCAGAGCCCTCACCTCTAAAATGAGGTGGTGATGCTCACTGTTATGAGAGATTAGGGATAATGTACAAAATGCCCAGGACAGAGCCTGGTGTGCAGCTGGCAGTCAATAAATGCCAGGAATAGTAATTCTCATTTCTGGCAGTTGTTCATGCCCGTGAGGTCAACCTGTAAAATTCTAAGGTGAAAGTGGAAAACGAAGTTAAACGAGATACTGAGTGCTGCTCTGATACACCAGTCTGCTGGGCACGCTGAGAACACAGCCCGGCTGACATAGTCACGGGGTCTCGAGATTTCTGTCCAACCAATAAAATTCTGTAATATAATTAAACAGCAAGATTTAACTTAAAATCCAGTTAGCATCAGATTTATAGAAACCTGTTTCTACAAATTGTGTTCTAGAAACCAGCAACAAAACCACTGTCAGTAGCCGTATCTATCGTTTCATTCTAGTTCCACAGCAGCCTTTGCAGGCCTGCCAGCTGACCTGGCTCTGGGCAACACCGAGACGAGGGGCCAGCATCCCTGACTCCCAGCCTTGGTCCTGCTAAGAGCCTTGGAGCCCCCCATTGGGGTACACAGGACACCAGCTGGTCTGCATTGTGGCCTGAGGGGCTCTCAGAGCAGACAGAGTAAAGGTTGCTTAGGCCTTTACTCCGCTGGGCCTCCCACATGCATTATCTCATGACAGTCCTTACTATGTTACAGCCCTATCTTACCCATTTGGCAGATGAGAAAATGAAGGCTCGCAATGGTTAAACAAGGTCTCCCAGAGAGCACAGCTTGGAATCGCAGTCCAGTGGTTCCGGTAGTGTGCTGCTGACAACACACAGGAATGCAGGGTGGCAATGTTCTGCCACAGAAAACTCTTCAGTTTAAAGACTGTGAGGCAAAAGAAGATCTATATTGGAAGCCTTCCCAGCCATGGAGAATGTCACAGAAATAATTAAGGAACTACATACTAACTTCGTTAATGAACATTACATGTTGATGGTTATTGTGGATTCTGTTACATGACAAAGAATCAATGGCTGGGCATGGAGACGTGTGTGCATGTGTGTGTGTAAGTGTATGTGTCTGTATGTGTGTGCATGCATGCATGTGTGTGTGTGTTTGGAGTCTTCTTGTGACCAACATGGCCTTTTGAGACTTTTACTGTTCTCCTGGTTTGAAATGCTTTGTGAACCTCTTGTGGTTAAAACAGAGTTTAAGCTGTACTCGTACTGACTGCACCACATCCATTTGAAGCCCCTTGGGGGAAAACCAGAGCCCATTTTGTACAGAAAGTGCACTATAAATGTAAGACAGAATTACTTGGCCTGGGGCAAGTTCTTACATAAACATATTTCTAATTTGGTTTTTCAGTGGAGGTTCCTAACTAGATTCGATTCCAAACTCAACAGAAACTGCTGGTCAAACACGCTTTTTGTTTACATACTTTGTATTTTTAAACTTAGAAACATCCCATGGAGGATGTCTTTTCCCAGTTTCACTGTAGGAATCAGAAGAGAATAACTGAGGAGGAAGGAGGGAGGTAAGATGGACTAAACCTTTCTAGACCCCCAAACTGTCAGGTCAGAATCATGGGCCCTGCCCCCGAGGCCCTGGGGGTACTCACCATGATCGTGGGCGAAGACCAGCAGTTCCAGTCCCATCAGCATCTGAGCCAGCTCATCATAGCGGCCACAGTGTTCCCCGGCTCCATGGGACACAAAGATGAGGGCCCTGCAGGGATGACAGGGGAGCTGGGTTAGGAAGGCGGTAGACAACTGAGGCTGCAGCTCAAGCAGTCCAGAGTTTTCATGACATCAGCGAGTCAAAGACCAGATCGCAGACTAAATGCATCGGGAATTGAGAGGGGACTGCTCTTAGAATGCTGAGCTTCAGGGGTCCATAGAATGTAGTCCAAATCCTGTGAGCTCTCAGGCAAAGCACCCATCCTTGAAGTTTCATTTCTTCACCTATACAATAGTAGTAACAGTCTCTTCCTCTGGAGAGGGGTGGTGAGGGTCACAGGTGCTAATTTATGCCAACCTGCCAGGCAGAGCGCACTGGCACGTGGCAGGCCCTCCATCGGTGCTGGTTTCCTCCCTAGCGAAGCTGCCCAGGGGGACCAGCCCTAAGCCAGTCAGGGCGCTCTGTGATCAGGCCGCAATGGCTGGCTCAGGTACAGGCATGTGACTCAAACCGAGCTGACTGGGTCCAGTGAGAGCCGATTCTAGCACTTTGGCTGAGATGGTCATGAGGAGGCATTTCATTTTCCCACTAGACTGCAGCCTTGGGTGCTGTGGGCCTACAACGGCCCCAGCCATCTGGCCCAAACTGAACTATGAGTTGACCCAACAGAGGAGAGCCATGTAAAGGAGGGCCACCCAGTCCTAATGGTATTCAAGCCCCGAATCCAGCTGGACTTGAAGCCAGCATTCTCCCCCATCCTGCCTTTTGCTGTTGTTGAAGTCACTGGATCATCTGTCGCTTGCAGTGAGGAGAATCCTAACAGACATACGACTCTTTCCATTTTTCTGTGGGATAACTGTACTTCCACATTCTTTCTTCCACAGGCAGCGGGCATTTGTACTATGTGTGCACCTTTAACTCTCCTCCTCTCTTTCTCCACCTGGCAAACTCCTCCCCTTCTTTCAAGACCGATCCTTAAGGTTGCCCGCTGAGAAAGATTTTACAGCCCGAAAGACTCTCTTAAGTCTCTGCTCTGCCTCTGTAATCCCTCTGTTACAGAAGGGGTGACAGCTGCTTTCTACCTACTTCCAGCACTGGTTACAACCTTCTGGAGGACATGCAGACTTCTCCCTCATTTTTTTTAGTGGCTAGCTAGTTTCGAGCTCATGGTGGGTGCTCTGCAAATGCTGTTTGAATGGATGGATGAATGACAAAGATTGAAAGGTTTCAAAATAAACAGCTATATTTTGCACCTAAGATCTGTGCAGTAGAAGCCTTAGGAACCAGAAGCAGAGCTTGGCTGGGGTCTCAGTCACCCAGGAAAGCCTTCAATGAGGCATGAGCACGCTGGGACACAAACAACAGTGCCCATTGCACATGGTTCACCCCAGCTTTTACATTGGCTGGTGTCAGCCGAGAAGTGGAGGAGTTTAAGGAGAGGGAATTTAGATTCCTAAATATACAATTGTCAAGACTCATATTCTTCACATAAGTCCCACGGGAGGTCAGAGTCTCTTCAAGCAAGGAGTGACTGCTGTGATACACACACATCCAATTTGTGCCAATGAGGTGGACGGGGGAGGAGGAGGAGATCAGTAGCTGCTATTTTATTGAGCATTTACTATGTGTCAGTTCCTCTGTTAACTCCATTTACAAGAGTTCTAATCCTTAAAGTCATCTCATGCTTTATCTTCTTTACAGCAGAGAGTGAAAATCAGAGAAGTTAATTGTCCAAGTCACACAGCAAGTTGGTAAAAGGTAGATCAGAGCATGTCAGCACCTGACTTTCTTTGAGCAGAGCACCAAGTACCAGCATTAACTTCATTTTCCTCTGACATCTGACTTCCCCAAAAATACAATAGAATCATTTCACACCCTCTTCAATGCTCCATGGAATGCCCAGCCACCTGCCTGTACCTGCTGACTTGACACTCCTGAGGTCGGCTGATGAGACTGTTCCCTGCTACTGAGGAGCGTGGCTGGAATCTAGGCCTCATCTCCCATCTGCAAAGGGGCTGCACCTCCAGAAGGGGGGGGTCTCAGCACTTTAACATCCTTTGGGAATTGCAACAGCTGCTGTATTAATTCAGCCCACAGCTAATGCTTAGTGTCCAGAGGGAAGGCACAAGGTATTGTCATCGTGCCAGGAATTGCCTATCAACAGAGTCCACCCCTAGGCAATATGTGGAAAAATACTTGGCCTCTTACTCTACAGAAATTCTTCTCATCCAGTGGTTCTCAACTTGGGCCATACCTTGAAATCAGCCAGAGAGCTTTCAAACATGCTGACACCAAATCCTACCACCAGAAGAACCTCTGGGTTTAACTGATCTGGGTGGGGAAGTTCCCCAGCAGTTTTGATGCTCAGTTGACTTGGAGAAACACCTGCTTTCATTGCTGTGTGCAACTTGGGTGACAGTGCTGCTCAGATGCCACATGGAACTTGCCAGTAGTGAGAATGAAGCCATTTTGGTACGGAGACTTATAGCCACTTTGGAGCCACTTATCTCCTTGAGGGACATGCTGGGTAAACCATCGGTTCTATCCATAGAGATGTAAAGGCCTCTGGAGCTTGCTGCTGCCATCCCTTTGGAAATGAAATAGATTGGCATGGCCGTCCCACTGCAGATGGCAGAGGCTTCAGCCTCCCTTCTCTGCACAGGCCAGGCAGCACCTGCAGGCTCAGTCCCCTTTCCCCTCCAGACCCAGGTCAGGCATCTCCACAGACATACACTGACAACTGGCCTCATTCTGGTCCTATGCTGCTGCTGCTGCTGCTGTTGCTGCTGCTGCTGCTGCTGCTGTAAGGGGTGGGGGCGGTTCTCCTGAGTTACTGGATTCAGCTCTTGCCTGGCCCTCAATTCTGATAAATCAATCTCTCCTCCTCTTATCCACACTTACTGTTCCCTGGACACAAGTCTCTGTTTTATAGAATCTGTTTGGCAAATGAAAATCAAATCATGTTACCTCTCTGCTTAAAACCTGTCAGAGACATTTTGCCCACTGCCACAGAACAAAGCCTGCTGCTTTTGTGATAATATCCTGCTCCACCCACTTTGGGCTCCTTGCTGATGCCTATCAGGGTGTGTTAAGTATTTAAGATGTGGGAAGGAAATGATCCCCATTTGTAGCATTTGCCAATTTCCATGGTGTAAATGCTCTCACCATGGCTGATTTCAACCTATTAACGTGCTGTCACTGAATCTGGAGTTGAGATGAGGTGCAAACCATCAGCAACTGAAGCCTGTCTGAGCCTGCTCCAGCCCACCTGTAGGGGCTTTTGCTGGGGATCACCACTACCACCCCCATCTTTGTTGGCTTTGCCATCATTTGAATCTCAGGCCTCTTCTGACCACTTCAGTTGAAGCAGTCTCTTCAGTACTTGTCACTGTCTAAAGGTACTTATCCAGTGCTGTTTTCATTTGCCTCCCCTAACTAGACTGTGTTCTGTGAGGGCAGAGATCTCATGGATTTCATTTACTACTATATTCTCAGCTGGGGAAAATGCTGGTGCATAGTTAGGGGCTTAGTAAAGATTCGTTGACTGGATGGCCCCTCTGCCCACTGCAGTCTCCCAGGTTGCAGCCTATGCCCTGGGGCAGAGGCTTTAGGAAGCAGGCTGGCATCAGGATTTTCTATTGCTTTGCTTACCTACCTGCCAGGACACCCCCTCCCCTTGTCAGACCCCCCTCGCTCTCTTCCCACACACCTGTTATAGGTGGAGCCACCACCTGCTTATGCCCATCCTGCGTCTAAACCTGACTAGCAGTCCCCCAGGTCCACCCCTCCCAGCGCTTCCCTTGTTGCCATCACATCCAGCCACATCCTCAGCTCTGTGTCTTTATGTCTTGTCTCTTTGGGGAAAGGGAAACACCCTATTAAGGCTTTCTGTGGAACTTCCACATTCACACTGGATACTGGCCACTACTTAGGGTTTCACAGACATCGTGATTATATTTATGCTCTGAAAACACACAGCACTAAGGGACTTAGATGTTGAGTAAATAATACCACAGATGTCGGGAGGTGGTGAAAAGAGAGCACAAGCCAAGCAGACTGGTTTGATTCCAGCACCACAACACGTGGCCCTGAGCAAGTTACCTGGCTGCTCTGAACCTGCAGTAACAGGATGGCAGTGACAATGGCCCTTTGACTGAAACTGTCCAGAAATATTGACTCAAAGCTTATCACATGCCAGGTCCTGGGGACTCGGAGATGGATAAACAGCATTGTCCCTACCCTCACACAGCTGACAGTCTCATAGGAAAGACAGATACTCAGCAAAGAATACATGTAGAAGTGTGTATTGTGAAAAGCGCCATGAACACAAAGAGAGGATACCACAGGGGATCTTACTGGGACTGGAGGGAATGAACCAGGAAGGCCTTGAAGTGTTCAAGCTGAGAACTGAGTATGAGAAAGAGATGTTATGGGCAGGGATGAGAGCTGTCTGGGTTTAGGGTCTCACCCAGGGCAACACAGGTGCACCTATTCCATACAGAGGGTGACACGGAGCAGAGGAGTGACCTGATCTGATTTTTCAAAGCACGTCTGGCTGCTGTGGACAGAGGAGTGGGAAACCTGCATGGCTAGGCCCTCCTTCTATTCCTCCCCAGGCATTCTGCAACCTTGATCAACAACAGCAGCAGAAAATTAACAGGGCATTTATGCAGACACAGCAATACCCACAGTGGTAGAAATTAGGTTGCAGAGGAGACTAGTGAAGATCTTTACCCAGGACCATCTTTAACGGCTGCAGCCTGCTAGGAGCCAGTTGTTCCGGGAGAAGGCAATGACTATCAGAGGGGGAGGCCTGGCCCCAGGAGCAGATGGCCTGCCTGGCATCCAGCCCTGGGAGGCAGGGCAGTTCCCAATAAAGCATATGCAGCCCTTTAGATAAGCACACTGCAGAGTTTCTCAGAGTTTATACGCCGAGGCCTGCTTATTCATGCCCAGGTGTGACAAAATGGAACTTCCCCTCAAAAATTTCTCTCTTTATTCCACTGCTTACTTATTGCTGAAGTGACGAAACTTTCTGGGTCTAAGTT